TATTGTCTCTTCTTCCTTTCTTCCAATTACATCTGATGACTTAATGATAATTTGAGGATACTTGCGACGCCTCAATGACGTCATATGTTAAGTGGCAGTTATTAGTAAAAGGTCAGGGGACTACTTAAGTGTTCTTTGACTGTCATATCTTTGTTCACTTGCCACATAAACAAGTCTATTACTGCAGAGACGTATATAAGAACTAGTAACTGTTAGTCATACACCCCAGACTGTGCATGATGTACAAAATGACTAATAAACTGGTGGATGTACCAACCACTAAGTATCTGATACCAGCCCAGAAAAGAACAAGAAGCAGTCATGCCTTCAAATATCAGAGTTATCAACCAAGAATTGAGGTATTCAAAAACTCGTATTTCCCCAGAACTATCGTAGAATGGAACTCGTTGCCACCAAGCACAGTTGGGGCATCATCACTAGAAAGCTTTAAACAACCCCTGCTAACAATCAAATGTGCAAACATTAAGTGTAACAAGTCGTTCGGTGTGATAAGCTAGCTGCCGCCGCGCCGCGTGCCTGCGAAGCTGGTATGTTACGCCGAAGGGCGGTTATACCGGCTATACCGATACAGAAGATTGGTTATTATTTGTATATGGGAACGGGAAATTGTTCACATTGTAACGCCTAATCTTACCCAGCGCTTGCTGTGTGAAACTCTGGAGGTATGAAGAAAAAACATAGATGGCAGTTAAAGAAAGGAGTTTTGTAAGATGTTGAATATTTGTTGCTTTCATGTTTTTTTTGTTGTTGTTGAAGATTCTTCTACTCAAGAAACCATTCTCCTTCTTTGATTACCCTGGTATAGTTTCACCTCTACCTTACAGCATGAGACTTGCCATCTTGATGACTGTGATGCTGGTAATGGCCAGTCTGCCGTTGTCTAACTCTGTTCGGCATCGTGACCCTAAGAGGAGGCGACGAAGTGCAGGGATCGTCAAAAGAGCAGCAAGTGGAGGTATTACATGATCGTTTACCTGAAAATCATGAGCAAAAGAACCTTATTACACTCGGACACAGTAGTATATAATATTTGACGCGGAACGTAACTTAAAAAGAAGAAGAAAAAAGATTTTTAGTCCAGGTCCCAGTTTGGAAATGTGGCCCCTGCGTTAATGAAAAGTTTATTGCAAATTCATGCCCGGAGGCTAATTGCAAATTACAAAACATAAAAGAACAATGAAAAAGAGTATAAAGTAACTAAAGTCTACATGATAAAGGTAGCTGTTTAGAACTATAACTATGTCTAAAACTATGTCTGAAGGGTTTGACTTGTCTTCTGTAAACCATGGAAGACGTAATTTTTATTCAATGACAAGGAGAGCAGTTTTTCTACGATTCCAGTCCATCTTGTCGAGAAAAATCTTGGACCATTACATAAAATTTGGACCAAAAAGTGGACCTTTGAGCCTTGTGGGGGGTTCTTCCAAACCTTCTCCCCTGGCTACGGGCATGTAATGTTTGCCTCCTTTTTCCCCCTGGCTACAGGAG